TCACGTGACCTCAGAGGGGTCACGTGACCTGGGGGTCACCTTGGGGTCACGTGACCTTGAGGTGACCTTGGGAGGGGTCACGTGGACCTTGGGGGTCACGTGACCTTGGGGAGGAGACCACGTGACCTCGGGGGTCACGTGACTTCAGAGGGGTCACGTGACTTGGGGGTCACGTGACCTTCAAGAAGGGTCACGTGGGGTCTTGGGGGTCACGTGACCTTGGGAGGGGTCACGTGACCTCGAGGGGTCACGTGACCTTGGGAGACGTGGGCTCACGTGACCTTGAGATGACCTTGGGAAGGGGTCACGTGACCCTGGAGGGGTCACGTGACCTGGAGGGGTCACGGTGACCTTGGGGGTCACGTGACCTTGGGATGACCTTGGTTACGCCGACGGCGACGCCGACGGCGACGGCGACGCCGACGGCGACAACGACGGCGACGGCGACGCCGCTCAAGCCGGGAACGGGCGCCCCTAAGAGCTGCGCTCTAATATTTAGCGTGTCAAACTGTCACGCATGCAGAAGCGTGCCTGCTCTGAATGCGGAGCGCGAGATCACGATGAAAATACAAAGAACAAAAATTCGAACGCCGTCAAAGCTAAGACGGCTGAGAGCGTGAGCCAAGAGATGCCGTTTCACGGCGTTCCAAAGTAACATGAAAACGAAAAAAAAAAAAAAAAAATTAAAGCGTCGCGACACAGGTGTTGTGACGTCACCACCCAAAAATAAGAAACGCGTGCCTTAGCGGTGGTGTCATGAATTTGGCACTTTCGATTCTCTTGCAACGTTGAGTTTGGCCGATTTCTGGCGTCCAAAGGTGTATTTAGAGCACAGCTCTTAGGGGCCCGTTTCCAGCCTGAGCGGCGTCGGCGTCGCCGTTGGCGTCGCCGTCGCCGTCGGCGTAACCGCGCCCCTCCCTCTCCTCCTCCTCCTCCTCCCCTCGCTCTCCTCCCCCTCCTCCTCCCCCTTCCTTCTCCTCCTCCTCCCTTCATTGTGTAGTATGGTCCGGGCGGGTCACGTGACCTTCGGGGGGAGGGGGTCACATGACCCGTTTCCAGCCTGTGCGGCGTCGGCGTTGGCGTCGGCGTCGGCGTCGCCCCTCCCCTCTCCTCCTCCTCCCCCTCCGCTCCTCCTCCTCCCCCCTCCTCCCCGCCAAGGTCACGTGACCCCGGGGGTGACTCCCCCCCCCCGCCGGTCAAGTGACGGCCCGCCCAAGGTCATGATCCCGTCCCCTCGAGGTCACGTGATCCCCGGACCTCTGCCCTCCTCCTCCTCCCCCTCCTCCTCCTCCCTTCATTGTCTAGTATGGTCCGGGGGGGTCACGTGACCTCGGGGGGAGGGGTAAAGGAGAGGGAGGGGGGAGCAGGAGGGGAGGAGGACTAGCAGGCATCATCACGAGGGAGGAGGAGGAATATACCCTCCCCTCCTCCGCCTCAAGAGCTGCGCTCCAATTCGGCGTTACAGGAAGTTGTAAACGGCTTCCACTTTTTTTTTTCGCTCTTTAGCACCACATAGAATAGGTGACCGGCGTTTGAGCCGGATGTTTCGTCATCCGAAGCGAGGCACCACGTGACTTCACGGTTCCGGTTCGTCCGGTGCCGGTCGTGGTGCGTCCAGCTGCATCGAGAGCCCTTCTAGGCGCGGTAGCCGTGCTGTATTCGCGGTGAAAATGGTTTGCAGCTCCGCGGTACGTTGTTCTAACGCAAGCCATAGAGGGCATAAGACGTTCCAGTTCCCGTGAAACAAAGCATGGAAGTAACGATAGGCCGTCGCTGAGTGATGGAGCGAATAAACGTCGGTGACCGTTTATGCGCGGTCAGTATTGTTACAGGCCAGTAGAACGTGTTCTGTCTTCAGGTAGGGGCCGCGGGAAATAACGATCTCTAACAGTCTTTTGGCACCCACCAAAAAGGTTTCGATTAATCCGCGAAGAGGTGAGCACTGCTTGTCGTACAAGCCATCCGCGAGAACGCGAGATGCGATCTCGCAGGCAATCAGTTCATGGCATGACGTTTCGTCGACATACAGTGCCATCGCCAGGCCGTTTAATTCTTATATCGACAGCTCGGATTAACATTTTCTGTAATGAGCCGCCGCAGACTGTTCCCGCGAAGCGGCGGTGAATGGGTGGCTTACTATAATATAAATAAACAAAAGAACAGGTCAGCTTGCTGTAATATAAAGAAGAGCAAATGGGCAGCACCTTCATATTGACGGATAATAAAGCGGTAGTACAACCCTGCGTACCTCATATCAAAATCGGTGCTCGTTCATGCATGCTTTCTTACTCGACATCATTAAAAAAAAAACGTGAGAGGGGGGGGGGGGGGGGGGGGGGGAGTTCACGGGGGACAACCTATAGTTGAAGTACCAAAAACGCGTGAGTGTTAAAAAGCAGGGGAGGAAGTGGTTGAGTGGGCTAACGCGTCTCAGCTCGGAGCGTGGAGCGAAAGCTTGCGCTGGGAACCTCCTGGGTTCAGTTCCCAACCGCCCCCGCCCGTTTCGATCTGGCTGAGTTTCGTACCAGCACACGTTCGTGTGAACACTACTGCGTGATGCACGTTAAAAACCCCAGGTTAGCGGTTGTACTGCACTGGCTAAATTTCTCATCTACAGCTAAGAGACCGATTACCCGTTGAGGCGCATCTCCATCAGGGCTGTATAAACATACAGAGCAAACCAATTTTTAGTGTTAAAAAGCTAGGATCGTCACGTAGTCAGATGTCATCGAAACTAGCTTGTGTACGGAAGTGGCGTTACAATCGCGCGAAAAAACATATTAGCTGAGTTTGAAACGCCGTCTGACCGACTTCTTTCCCTGTCTTCAAATTTTGATTGCTTCAAGATTTTCTTACCCAGTCTCAGGTGTTCTAACAAAATGAGAAAAGTACGCCAGACCTCCGATCGGGCATTTCAGCTGGCCGCGTCCTACGGCTTACATTCGCACCTATTTCAGTCGTGATGTGATCTAACGTAACCATCAAAAATAAACAGAACCCAAATGAATAACGCTGGCTCAAAAGGAAAACGAAACATCTAACCCGAGTTTTTATGCGAAGACCCGAAAAGCGCGGTGCGAGTGCAGCTTGCCGCCGGCCGCGCTCGCTCTGCGCTTTCGTGACCGTTCTCGATGCTTCTGCGTACCGACTACTACTTAACATATCCGTAGAAGTAACTTGAGACGTTCAGAAGTGCGAAAGTCACCCAGCAGCAGAGGAAGGTGGCCCGGATTGATCGGCTTTCAACACCCGCACACGCTTCCATAGCCGTCCTGGGGCTGCGTCGGCTGCTAGCTACGAACCGGAAGTGAAGAATACCCAGAGTGCTTTGCGGCTGCTGCCAAACGCCGGTCACCTATTGAAAAAGCTCGACCAACGTGCCATAAGTAGGGCTATTCTCAATCGGGTGAGTTTGTACTACCCAAAATGAGGGCGCTACAGTTTGTTCAAAGCTTCAGCGCATGAGGCCTATAGGGCACAAGTGATTTCTCATAGCATCCTCGATCATCCGCACCGGTGCGCATCGGAGCACTGAGGTGCGCCCCTTCATATTCGATCAAGTGCACCGGTGCGCACCGTACGTCCTCGATCAACGAAGCGCACCCTCCCGGTGCGGCTTTTCGTTGCCCCAACGTGCACCAAGAAAATCGGCGGTGCGCCGGGGGGCAGTCCCATCAGGCATTGCGGCCAGGAGCGGGAATCGAGAAGATGGCGGGAGTAGCAGACGCGCAGACTATCGGGATGGCGATCTTGCAAAAACGAACACGCCTCGCAGCTGCGCTAGATGATTTCCTCGGGTCTTCTGACGGCGAGACGACGAGCTTCCCACCATCGCCGCGATTACTGGCGATTGCTGCGGTGGCAAGGAGCGCCCGAAAAGCACGAACTTCGTGGAAAGCGGTGCGAGGCGTTTCGATGACAACGAGGTACGGCTATTATCTGGTGTTTCGTTTTCTTGAACTAATAATGATGGCCAACATATACATGTGGAATTGTCACCCGCTTCATGATCCCATCGACAATCACGCCCACGATGTTTATTTCTGTGGGACCGTCAAATCCGCGAAAAAAAAAATAAAAGAAATTGACAGCAGACGGGCACCGTGCGCTTACCTACGCAAAATAAACGAACAAAACGCGAAGTGACGCAAGTTGGAGCTCGCCGCGGTGCACCGGCGCGGCGCAGTTTGTCCTCGATGTTGCACCGACATCGCGCTGCACGACCGAGGAGCGCTGTGCACTGTGCTGGTTTCAGGGCGATTCCGGTGCGAGTTGATCGAAGATGCTATCAATGTTCAGCTGGGGCTCGTGTTTAATCAGCGCGTCGAAGATCGGGCTGGGGCCGAGTTAGCGCGATACGACTGGGATGTCGTTTTATGAAGGAAGAGTAGGCGATATGGAGACTTTTATTATTCTAGGTGGTGTTGACCGTACACGAATTACTGCAGACAGCTTAGCAACAGATTTCATACAAGCGTAGAGACTATGATGCAAGAAGAAAACCACGGTTGTAAAAATCCACTATTAACAATTTAAAAAAAAAAGCTTTTTTTTTTTTCTTGCGCCATTTGAAAGGAGATTTAAATGACGAGTGTTCTACCAGTGAGCTCCTTTATTTGGCTGCCTACGGCCATATTCAACCTTGGCCTTCACGTCCTTTGTCTGTCCTGGTCTGCTCACCCTCGGCGCTTACGTCGTCCTGTGCAGACCTCGCGGTCGCGTAGTCGCGCGTCCGCTGTTTGACCTGGTTCTCGTCGTTTTGATAATGGCGTTTATTGGCGTAAAACTGATGCGGTCCGCCGTTGGCAAAGTGCCCTGTTCGGTCTTTTTTTTATTTTGTTTAGTTTTCAAATGCTACCGGTTTGAAGAAGTTATGCAACATTTTGTTTTGGTTTTCTTTCTAGTTTCCAGCTCGACGGTTTTCCGTCAGCAGGTGGCAGGAGTGGTTTTCCGGTGACGTCGCAACCTGTTTCCGGATCTTTCTTTTATTTTTATTTTTTTCGAGCCGAGATGTGTTCGAAAGGTTAAGGACGGTATGGCCTTCCGGTCCTCTAAGTAAATTTTAGCAGTATCTACTGCTATCACACTAAATTGCCCGACCCCGCAAAGCGCTGCACCCAGCGAGCCGGTAATATGGGGCTCCTATGGTCAAGATTCAAGGTAAAGTATGGCGCTTTCCAAAACATTTTCCACTGTGGCATCAAACTTCAGTAGCGGCATTTGTCACAAGTGTTGTTCTACCTTACATTGCAAATTTATTCGGAGGGTCTATGAAAATTGTATAATTTTCAGAGCGTCTATGCGTTCTTCTCAGAGCGGTCTGATTTCACCTCGATGACACGTCGGAAATTTTGCAGTGGCGACGGCCGCTGTGTGACCGCTAGTCCTTCCTCGTCGGGCCAATAGGCAACCTGCAGTGCAGTTTGGCGCTACACGTTGCGCCATCTAGCGGCTGCAAAATAAAGAAACTGGGTAGGCCAGGACTACGCGGGTCGCGGGGGCTGCGGGCGGGCGCATCCAGAAACCACGTGTGAACGTTGCATTTCGGATCGGCGTGAGTTTTTTTGGATCCGTTTTTCGTAAAAGTAAGTCCCAACTTCACGTCTCTATAACCTCACCGGGTTCCTGTGACATCTCGCCTACTCGTGGAGTTCTTCCAAAAAATAAACATTGCTACTGCTGCATGAAAGACAGCCACAGTCGCGAAGGTGACTCAAGCATCAAACTTCACCGCTTCCCCAGCTTCACTTCGAGATCTTGGGAAGCGACACGGCGACAGAAGTGGATTACTACAGTGCGACGTAACAAGTAAGTGAATTTTACAGAAACTGTCGGGGGGAAGGGGGGGGGGGGGGGGGGGGGGGGAGTGAACGGAAATATATGTGCAGGCTTGGAAAGTGGTCGGACGAACTCATTTTGCTGATTACTCGGCAAAATAACATATTTATACAAGTTGTATTACGAGTCGCTTTGACAGCCACATTAGGGAAATACGATACGAACAATCGGGCCGATTGTTGCTTCGCTGTGGCGTCGAGAATCGGGCGATCAGGTCTTCAAGCGAAAGGCTCGTCGGTCCGTTCCGGCACTCCTAATGCCGTTCGGCACGCGTGGTCGCAACCAAAACCTTCCAAACCTGCTGGTTTTTAAATAATGGATTTTCGTAGCACAAAATTTTGCTTGTTTCAGCAACCAAATTTAATGCTGAGTCTGGTAACAATTGTGACGGCATGCAGAAAGCAGGATAGAGAAATCTCATGCGAAGCGTAAATATCCTTCTTACGCGTACACTTCGTTGCCTGTCGCCATTTTACACCAGGCTTTGCAATGTGCGTACGGTTCTGTAGCATGCAGAGTTTGGTTCTAATTACCCAAATTTTATTCTAGTGTGTGTGGACGTCGGGAGGAGAGGACGGCCGAGCGAGGCGCGAGCGGGGGCCAGCCGGCGAGGAAGTGCCTGCTGCGCGAGGCTGGGGCCGGGCAGGAACGCTAGAGCCGTTCTGGCTGGTCTGGCCCATGGCGATTCCCGGGAGCATTCCACCAGCGAAGTTCGGATCAGGACCGGCGGAAGCGGCGAACCCAGACCATACTGGCCTAGTCCATGACGATCCCGGAGTGGTTCCGCAGCGAGACTCTGGCAGTGATACCCCAGAACAGCTAGCCTACGCAGCGCTGGCGTGGGAAGGGCGATCCGCATGCCTGGACACGGGCTCCGACTGTGAGCTCTGAACGACGGGCGACAACTAAGGTCGGCGGGTCCGGAGTGCCGGCTTTCGAAGACGGGCAACCGCGATGTGCAATAAACCCATTTGTTGTATTGTGTCACTTCCTGGGAAACGAGCGAAGCACAGACCGATCGGGCGCCTGACGGCCACAAGTAGTGAAGACAACTCAAACGTGTCCAAATGACGACTCTAGAGTATTCTCTCAGCACTTTGACCTAGCAAGGCTCCCGATTAAAAAACCGCATAAAAGAACCAGGGACGCAGGCACACACGGGGACTGCTGAAATCGGGGTTGCCGCCGCTCGCAACGGCCCGACGGGAAAACTGGCCGCCCCAATAACAGAGACGCCTCCGCTTGTGGCGCTGAATGCAGTGCTCTCGTGGCGCCGCCTGGCCATTGCCGGCTGCCTATGTTCTTGGCCGAGCTTTCATTGTTGGGTCCGCAACAGCCTTTCGCAGGATGTGTGCGCACACACACAAACACACGCACTCGCCTAGTCATTTGTGAAAACGCAGATGAGCGTTTTCCTTTTGCGTCTCAAATTCGTCTGGAAAAGTTGCTCCGTGTGTTTGTCCTTACAACTCTGAAGCGTTCTCCGCCTTACCGGTTTTTCCTTGCGCTACCCATATATTCATCGCCGGCATTGATATCCCGAGTGATGAACCGCTTCCAAGCTTCTGGCGTACGCGACTCAGACTGCACCTGCGGGCGTTTGACGTTTCCCGTGCCTTTCCTTTACCGTGTCTTGATGTGATCGAATGGTAACGTCGTGCTTCGAAATGTCATTTCAGACTGACTTTCTACAGCTAGTACACAATTTACCGAACGGTGTTTTGCCCGTCATGCAGTCATGTGTTCCTCAATTTTCTTCCTCCTCAGCACAAGCCTGGAACAAAAGAACTCCTGGACGATATCGAAAAAGTAAGTGAAATGTTTGTTAACCTTCATGAAACTGTTCCACCATCAAACTTTTGTATGTATTGAGTCTGACAGCGAATTACCTTAAGCTATCAGGTTGTCACCATGGCACTTTGTAGGCATCAGCGTTTCTTCAATATTTATAACTGTTTTTATTATTTTTATTTCATTTCAGAAACAGAAAAGCATAGATGAGTACAAATACAGCACAGAGCGACAACAGAAGAGGCTTGTGGGGGCTCTCATATTCTACTCGTCACTGTTCTACATCCTGTGCATGGTAATCACCTACATATGGTACTTCCCAAGGACTGTCCAGGGCCAAGTGATGTGCATCGTGCCATTGGTGTTGTTCCCAGTCTTGTAAGTTTTCCATACAACATTTGAACGTTTGTCATAGTTACATTTCACACAGCATTAATGTTGTTTGCTTTCCACTGTTAAGAAGGATTCGCTATTTACATTATTTTAGCTTTGTGTCGATAGTACAAACCATTCATAGGCTGATTCATTTTTTTTCTACTTAGTCATGAAAGTTGAAAACTGGAGTCAAAAACCCCGTGACAATTTTGTTAATGACTTCCCCACCCCCAGTAGGTCAGGAAAGTAGAGAATCCTTCAGAAACACTCCATGATGTAGCCAGCTGCCTCCGGCTTTTCCATCTGCTCTCTTTCTCTTTGTACATGCATTGAGGAACTCGTTTGCAAAATACAAGTTTTGCTTGTACGACAACTATTTTTTTAATGCAGACAGTGTAGATATATAGCTTATATACTTCTCCACATTATCATCACATAGATTTAGGCAGTTATGACATGGCACAAGCTTTTCGATGTCTTTCCCAAAGATGGTTTCTGCCAGGATACTCAGTCCTTCAACAGACAATAAAAAAAAAAAAAGTGATAAAACAAATCTAGTAGACACAGAATTTTAACAGATACTCAAGACTCCACACAATCACCACATAGACTTAGGCAGTCATTAATTATAATATGGCACAAACCTGGGTTCACTGCGTGCGACGCAGGGGCGATGCCACTGAGCTACGCCACAGCATTATATACCTGCTCTAAACATTTTTTTTTTCCTGTAGTGCCCAATGCCCACTGCGCGCATTCTTTGAGGGAAAAAAAACAAACAAAAAAAAAAACACCTGTAACAAAATGCTGTTGTCGCACTGGCAATGCCAAGAGCTTGTGCCGGGAGATATGCTTTCACGCGCTCCGGAACAGAGAAGAAACAAAAGCGTTTGGAACAAAATGGAACAAAACATAAGCTTTCGATACCAAACAGATATCTGTTTGTGTCCTGAACGCTTTTGGTTATGCATCCTACTGTCCCACGGTGCGTGAACGTGACAGCGATGCCCAAGGACTTCGCCGTGGCGTGTTGCAGCTATCGCTGTGACTGGATTGACACAGGACTGCTTAATCTGCTAAACATTTCTTTGATTAGAGTACCGTAATGTCCAGAGAGATGTCCAATCCCCAAAAGATAGCCCACCCTCTATTTATGGCATGATTTGCTACTTTTTCTGAAACACCGAAAGATAGCCCACTTCTAGTAATTGCTATGCCCTGACCAATGGTGACCTCGGCAGAAACGGTTTTACTTAACCACGGCTGGAAATAATTAAATATTGCTGACTGGTAAGGACAGTCATCTTTGGTTCATTGCCCCTTCCTGCGATCACAAGTTTCAAGGGTCACAAAATCTAAAACTAGCATATTTTCAACTTTTTTTTATAGCACACGAAAGTTGGCTCACCTCTTATTTTCATCCGATTTGCTACCGAATTTAGGTGGGCTATCTCTCGGAATATAACGGTTACCCTTTATTTTTTCCAAGTTAATTTCTGTTCTAGTTTTCATCAGTTGAGGTGCCTGCTTTATTTTTCTGACAGTAAGGAGTCCTTCAGATGACTGGTGTGTTGTCTTGTGAAGGCCTCAATTTGGCTACATGGCTGATCCACAAACTGCTGACATTTTTATTATGCTTTAATGAGAAGGGAAACTACTTACCGACAAACTCATTATCATTGGGTTTCTATGCCAGTGAAGCAGTGCAAAACTGCAAGCAAGGTGCTCTTGCCACATCTAAAATAAAAGTTAATTGAAGTACTTGTGTAAGGGTAGCCATATTCTTTGACACAATTTTGTCTCGCTCACTACAGTCTGACTGCATACCCACAATGTTTGTGAGAACATGGTACCTAGATTTGTGATACGTTTGTGGCCAACTTGATTCGGTGCCTTTGTCAGTTTTGATGGATATTTTTACACTTCTTCTAGATCTTCAGGCCGAAACACTTTCCTTTGTTTCGTTCCCTCCCGTCGTCTGTAGGATGCTTCATTGCCCAGCGAGCAGATATTTTCTTGTATGCGGTCCACCAAATCTAAACGCCTGCTTGCTGTGATCAACATAGTCAGTGCTACATTAAAGATTTTAGGACATGCCAGAAATAAAATGAGATGACTATACTGCTACGACCCATTGTATGTTCCTATAATCCTGCTAAATTGGTTATGAAAATGGCACTATAGTTTTGTGTATAAATCGATTTATATACGGGACTCTTGGATCTGTCCCATTCGAAAATGTTGCCGTGATTGTTGGGTCGGTAATGTCATCAGACCAACGTGCGGCGTCCCCCGGCACATATTCGCAGACTTGGATGACAGCTAGGGTATACGTCGGAGTGGCCGAGGAGCGTGCGAGTGTGCGATCATACCGTGGCGAAACGAGCTTGGGCGTGCATGGGTGCGCCTAGAATGAAAGGACATTCAACTAAACATGAGGATCACAGAAAATATAGTAAGGCTGCAGGCACGCTGGTGAATATTAACCATGTTTAATTAACCTGAGATAGGTAGAAAAGAAAGACATCCTTCTGTCCCTTCTATGTTTTGATGTTCCTCCTCTACCCCAGTTTCAGGTTAATTCAACATGACAATCATGTGGTTCATTGGCACCATGGTGTGACTAACTTGAGCAGTGTTGCTAGTCGCAAGGCGAAAATGATTAACATTTGTAAATTGATCATTGCCATTACTAGAGCTCTAAAAATTTTGAAGCTTTGTGTATATACTAAGCAGGGATGGGCAGTATTTCAAATACTTTGTGTATTTTGCATTTGTATTTAATTACAAATTGGGTGATGTATTTGACGTGTGTATTTAAATAATAAAACATGGGTATTTCAAATACAATTGTAATTAAATACAATTTTGTGGGCGAAAATACATTCCTCAAATTTATTGGCACGACAATTCTTGTTTTTTTTTGCATGTGGTTGTAAGATATAGTCTCCATCCTTTATTCGACCATGAGGCTTTTTTCTTTTTTTCCTCCTGCTTTATTTTAAAGGCACTGTCCAGAGCAGGAAGAAAACTACGTTCTGCACCGAATGCAGTGTCTCTCAATCAAGCACAAGCGTTTAGTGGCTTTGTGATTATGGTGCTAGTCCAGGGCAAGAGTAGTGACGAAATTGACGTTCACAGGCAGACTAGCTAAATGAGTGCCTGTGACAACTTGTGATGCTTTCCAGCCTAATTTCCATCCATATTTTTGCCTGGAACATTCTAAATGCGCGGGTCGTCCAGATTTTCGTAACTGGTGCGAGTTACAGCAATAAAAAATTCTCTAGCTAGTGCTGCGCGTCTTGGTCGTCTCGGTTTTTTGTTGGTCTATACCAAAATGTGATCGACAAAAAAAGCTGCTTGAAGCTCTGTACCTTTTTCACCTATTACGTCCAAGCTGATTACATTTTTTTGTGATTATATTTATATTACGTTACTAGAGCCCCGCACACTAACTCCCGAGTGTACGATGCAAAGTTAAAATGAGATACCGAGAAAACTGTTGCAGGTGCCCTGATGTTGCTGACGCAAATTTTGAGGAATGTATTTGGAAAAGTATTTGGAGGAGACCAAATACATTTGGTTGTATTTGTATCTTGTACTTAAATGCTTTTTTGGAAATGTAATTAGATTTGTAATTAAATACATTTTTGACAAAGTATTTTGTATTTGTATTTCAATTCATATTTGCATGTATTTTGCCCATCCCTGATACTAAGTAACCTATTCCATTTCAAGAATAATCTATCTTCTTGATTTTCATGTCCTAATCACTTTAAGCAAACTTTGTATACAATTTTTTTCTGTGGGTTATTTCAAGTTTTGCAGTGAAGGAACGGATTGGAGTGAACAATGTTTCTTTTAACTTGCTTTAAAAACTTCAAAAAGCTTTAAGTCTTAGAACCCCTATACCAGTGTACTACTGTAAAATCGTGTAAGGGTGGCTTCCCCCAAGAAATCGCCCATCCCATTTTTTTGGCTAAATATCTGCAACATAGAAATTCTGAAACATTGCCCATTCCCTCCGATTCCCGTCATGTGACATCACGTGATGTACGACGGGAATCGCATCAACCACATGATCTGCAGTACCGGTACGTGTGAGAAGCGAGTTTGCAGTGGGTTCCCGCATTTTTGTCTGCGACCTGCGCGCGCAATATTGGTTCTCGTGGCACGCGAGTTCCCGCGTTTTTTTCCCATGATATGCGTGCTCGACATTGTTTCCCATGGCATGCAAGTTTGTAGCCGGTTTCAGCCTGTTTATCGCGCTGTGAAACACGAATCAGTTGCATCCGCAGTCTGCAGTATTCTTTTCCGTGACACAGTATAAGCAAATTCCTGCGTGTTTCTCGTGTTGTAAAACAATATTTTGTTGTGTCCGTGATCTGCGGTATCAGTTACTGTGTCGTGTGGTTTGTAGCGGGTGCCCCTGTGTTTATCATTAATTTTTATTATAGTTTAGCTGTCTCATCCCCATAGATAGCTCAGCTCATGTTTTAGAGCAATAACTGTTAGGGCCCCTTCCCAGCAAGGAATTCTCATGTACAAACACAAACCTCCGCCCTACAGCAGAGGCACTGCTCTCCCGCTTCCCATCGTTCTTCACACATACACACCAACTGTGGTTAAGGTTCTCTGTCACCCCCCCCCCCCCCCCTCCCTCTCCCCCCTGTAGGCCGCCGCCGTTCCGAAAAAACCACGTGATCACGGCAAGAGCGCGCTCCGCCTTCCCATCATTCCTGCTACATCCAGATACCGTGCCGCAATGCTATCCTTACCCCTCCGGCAGCCGCATTACGAAATGCCCAGGTGGCTGCATTGTGGAAACGCGCTCCCTCGCCTCCTCACTACTGCTGCCCAGGTTCCGTTCTTGTGTGCTCTCCGCACCTCTAGAGAACAGCTTGTATACATACTTTTGCTTCTTCCACTGCAGCCGCTGTCATGGGCATCCGTTGCTCACTTTATAACAGGCATGGCCAAACCACGCAAGCACCGCAATGTGTCCAAGAAGCAGGCGTGGCAGGTGTGGCGCGCTGAACAGCGTAGGCATAGGTCTGCAACGGCACGAGAGCTACATAGGTCCTACTTCCACAGTCGAGAGGACCTTTCCACAATGCAGCAGCTACCGCTGTCGATCGCAGCACACTTTGTGTGGTCGTTGGCAATTCTTTTCATTTATCTCTTCATTTTGGGTGGGCACTCTTACGAGAATTTACGGTCTGCTTCAGTCTCTAAACGTTTGCAGCATCGTAATCAGCTCACCAGTCATTCCAATTGGAAATTCCTCATGATGACAATGCAGTGTGCACAAAATAGTAAAAGAAAAGTCAAGTCAAGCTTTGCCATTTGAATATCTCTTCTATAGTGGTTTCTTCCTCTCATCCGTGATGGTGGCTGGTCTTCCATCTTATAGAGGTAGCTTTTTTCTTTGTAAACATGTGTTGTGTAAGCACCGTGGGCACTATCATTTCATCGAAGGTCAAATTTGGGTTCTTTGGATGTGTAGTGCTCATGTGCACCTGCTTATCATGCCTGAGCGCTCATTCGTTATTTCACTTGACATTTCAGAATAGTGCTTGCCAAGAAACTTCTGCAGTGGTACTTCCGACGAAAAATTGAGAGGAAGAACGAAGAGCTTGCTGACCTGATTAAACAAAAGCGCACAGTTCTCGACAACGTGATGGAGACTGAGACATACAAGGTCGCCAAGGAGATTCTCGAAAAATACGACCCCGAGACGTTGAGGAAGAGCATTGTGAGCTTTGAAGCTTGCCCTTGACATTAGTGGAGGCATCTGCGCATTATGTAACTGATCGTTTGTCACATGCTGCCTTTCAGAAAGTGGAAGAGAAGGCTGGAAAACAGCTGGCACTGCCTGAAATGAGTAAGTGGCATGCTAAGTGCCCTTGAGCTAACAAATTAATTTTTTTTCAGCATGACCTTGGCACTTTTAATGGCTTCTGTAGGGGTTGCTTTAGTCTGTGCTAGCTAATCCCTGCATCCAAAAGTAAAGATAAAAGTTTTGCTTGGGAGAAAAGCGTGTTGGTTTAAGTCATGGATGAAGAAAGAATAAAACAATTGAAACACAACCACATCTTTCAACAGGCAAGTAAACTTTCAACAGCGAGCAGCCGACCATACCCAGGAGGAGAAGGGGGGAAAAGGCAAGATAAGAAAACGCAAAGTGCAAGTCAGAGTGGTGGGCTTATCTCTGATTTTAGAAACTCAACCTCAGTTTTCGGCAGCAGGAGGGAAGGGTTTGACACGTTTTTTTGCTGTGGTCATGGCGAATGACTATGATCTCCCTGCCGAATCTGGTGTCATGCCCCCCCAGGATTTTTGTTTTATCAAAGAGGGGACGACAATGCAAACACCTGTTTTAATTTTTTTATTCTTTCTTCATTCATGATAAAGGTTTTGTCTGCCATTGTGAAAGTTTCGGGGTGATCAGCTCTACTACTGCACTGGCCTCTTCAGTAGAGATGCCCATAATTTGAACACAGGCTGACTTCTCTCTTCTGTGTAGACATTCACACACTAGAATTGACTTGTTTGGCTGTGCTAGGTTGCATGTTGGTTAATATGGGAGTCCTTTTCTACGTAGCACACGTTTTCGTGTGGCGGTTGCCACGTTGAAATTTGATGTAGTTGGGTCGGGCAACAAAAAATAAGCTAAATAATTTAAGCATAACTACAATAAAAAGTATAGCCAAGAAAAAAAAGTAGCAGTATCTACGCAGACCTTTTGAATTCTAGCGCCTTCAATTCAGCAAATAAAGTGATCTTCTATTTTGACCCAACTCGGCTACAACAAAATTCAACATGGTGGCTACCACAAAAAAACAGTCTTTAAAGGGCAGAAAAACTGCTCTGAACACACTGAAAATGATGACTTTCACTTCGATTGTCACATCCTCATTCACAAACAAGAACAAATTTGTCTTCTCATCTCCTGTGACATGGCTGATGCAGCATTTAGTTTGACATACTACATATTTCAAGTCAAGGCCCGTTCACACTCTTGCGACCGAGTACGACTGAGAGAGCCGAGATCTCTTACAACTTCTTAAATGTTTCTAGAATGAGGGGACACACTGACATTTTGGCGCCATCTATGCGGTGACCCTAGAACTGCATTTCACAAAAGCGAAGGTTTTGCGGGATTTCTGAGGTCAAATGTGCGTAATACCCACAGAAAGGCTCGTTTATAACATTGACAAAAGTTTTTCGAGCCAAAAAAGAAAGGATATTGCGCGAGAAATAAAAAAAAATATGCCGGACCGCCGAGTTTACACTGCTTCCCAATAGATGGCACCAGTGTGTTCTCTGGTTTAAGAAGTTTTAAGGAACCCAGGTTTAAGAGGTCGCAAGCAGTCGCAAGAGTGTGAATGGGCCTTCACTTGCATTGCATACACAGTGTATTATTTTTTCAACTCCATCGTTGTCCAGCTTTTTTTTAAAGATATATTGTGTCAGTGTTCACTTTGTAATCCAGTCATTGACATTATGTGTGTGTGTTATTTTACATGATGGTTAGTGATGAAACCTTTCCCTACAACACATCCACCAGCAGATCCATGGAACCTATTACTAAACTTCATCAGTGGCATCATATGATGTGCCAAGGCAGTTGTGGATTGGCAACTGCTTAACACAACGTTTCAGGGATGTGATTGGTCACATCTGTCACCCACCTGTCCATAAGCAAAATATGCCACATCTCCAGATCTTTTATGTAAACTGTAAGCCGGCACTTCAATAATAATGTGGCCCATGACCAGAAAGATGGCTCACAATAGAGGGCTAGTATGCATCAAGTTGGACAGCACTGCTCTGCAGGTTCATACAGGGCTATGACCTTGCATATGTGTCCTTTGTTCTTTGATTCATAAGATCTTGCAGAGTTACTCCGCTTGACCTTGCGATTGACCAAAGCAGGCGCTTTGTGACACCATAGCCAATTCGGTGCTTTGAGCATATCGTGTGACCCTGTGCCCCGTGGTCTCACTGCGCCTCTCCGGAATGTCGCGCGACACTTTCATGGTATTGGACTGACTCAGACGGACCGTAGCATCTGCTGCGGCTCATCGCAAGGTGAAACGGAATAAAGGCACCTTTGTGAGTGTTTTGACCATTTTCTATTGCAAGGTGAACCAGTCCCAGGTAACACTGCAATACTGGATGGATGGATACTAACGGATGTACCCGTTATAATGGGCAGTAGGCTGCGCCACCTGGCCTAGCCAGTACCTAGTCAGCTGGGGTAACTCCGACTGGGTTTGACCGGAGGAAAATTGGCAACTCCCTTGCCTGTGGGAAGAGACGGGGCGGTGAAGGGGGGGGGGGGGGGGGGGTGATACTTTTACTTTTTTTTCTTGGTCCCCCAAAGGTCATCTTGGTGATATCCCACACCACCTGGTGATGGCTACGAAATTGCAGAGGGAAGCTAATTGGTTTAGAAGGGCAAATGGAGGAATCAAATTTTTGGTTTTTAATTTCTAGGCTAGGTGGCGCAACCTACCATCCGTTACAGCCATAAGCACACATCCATTCAGCACTCGGTGCCAGATGTGCATTGATACTATTTACACATAAGTGCCAGCACACTTGTACTTGAAATATATAATAGGCTATGCTAGGGCAGGGTTTCTCTCGCCTGTTTTGACTAACGCAAGTTGTGCTTCTGCCTGGGATGTTTCTGTAGCTGACCTGCGTAGGCGCATGCCCCCTTCCAAGGCACCCCTACGCCCTGCTCGGCTGCCGCACTCCAACCTTAAGATGCCCTCCTCCTCTAACATGCCCTTTGAGGAGCGTCGCATGATGGTGGTGCCTCCGGGCATGTCCAGGAACGGGCAGCAGACGCTCGGTGAGTGGCACATCGACATGCACCTCAGCTTTCGCTTTTGCGTCTGGTTCAGGTCGCGTGGTTTCGGCAAATGTCAGTGTTCTTGTTTGTTCTGTTTGGTCTTGGGGCCTGTTTACGTTCCTTAGCAAGGTGCTTGGTACCTTTGCTACTCTTCTACATTGTCGGTTTTGCTGAATTGCTGCCGGGGTTTATATCAAATGATTAGCCATGCTTTGGCTCATCATGAGCAGTTCCCTTTGGTTTTTTTGAATAAGCTGTGCAAAAAATTCAGCACTTTGCTTAAATAACTGTGTGAGTCTGTGTCTTGCCCCTTCTGAAGTAAAAAAAAAAAATCCACTTTTGCCCACGTGTGTAGTTTTTATTTTTAACAAATGTCAAAGATTGGGGTTTTTGTTACCTCTTAACTCCTTCTCCACCTTCGAGTCATGTGCGCTTCGACATGAAGGGGAGATGCGTGGGGGTTCTTGTGAAGCTCCTTCTCTAACGCCATCAGTGAGCAGCAAGAACTTACCCACTTGCAACCACGTAATCACGTGGTCGCAGCCAGTCGGCATTGCCCATGTTCGCAACAGCATTTGAAGTTGAGACATCAGAAAACGAGGGGAAGAAAGTGCCAACGTGCTCGTTCGGGTTCGGCCGTCTGGCTTCTAGCAGCTCCTCGCAGTAGCAGATAGAGCTGACGGTTTTGTTGACCTCGTATAAAAGACTCCAGTGAAACTTCATATAATAAAAATCTTGGTGATGATACCAGGTTTTTGATGCATTTATATTTATCAGGGTGTCTAGCGACCGGGAATTATCAGGGATATTGTCAAAAAGCGAGCTGAGTCAGGGAAAATGTGCTGGAAATGCCATTGAGTGCCCTGAGCAAAGAGTTGAGGACTTGGAGCAGAAAATTATGCAATAAAGTCTGCTTAGAGTGGAGCGTGGGCTGTACTCACCCAGTGTCGAGTGTGCTGTCGATGCAAAGAAAACAGACGACCAATCCAGTCCAAGCCTTGGGTTGGATTAAGGGAACGACACTAGACTAGATCCAGTTAGAACTACTAGATTTAGTAGCAAATGGGAAAGCCTCAGACCCCAATCCAATCCAAGCCTTAAGCCAAAAGTCTCCGAAAGTGCACATCTGGCAGTCATTCTGCTATTCGGTTATTGATTTAGGGTGTGTAGTTGAGCGTCGTGTTTTCATGGTGTTTCCGGAAGTGGCCTCTTCACTGACGTTATCGACGGCAAGAAAGTGCTTGTTTAATCCGGACGGGATGAACGTGAATATTTCGGAATATGCAAGAAGAATTAAGACCATGCAAATTGATTCTCTTAGTGCTCAATACTCAATGCCTTGTGTTGTAATGGTCTTATATATTTAACCACCTCCACAGTGGTCAGGGAATTTCTACTGAAACTGTCAGGGAAAACCTGGAAAAGTCAGGGATTTCCTAAATAATATTTCGCTAGACACCCTGATTTGTTAGAACGACGAGATTTATAGAAAAATGACCTTTTATTGAGCAGGAAGTTGCACAACTTGATACCTTTTTACAAGTCCCCCTCGACATCACGCCACGTGATTCTCATGGCAGGCGCTCGTGGCTGCAGATCGAGAAATATTCAAATTTTTTCCTCGCTGTTATGCGGCGGAACCGCAACATTTCGAAGAAAGGAGATGTGCTTTCTGACCTTTGTGACAAGGTAAACTGTCTCAAAAGTACAAGATACAAATACTTTCAACATCAAAATTGGTGCGCAGCTCTTTTAAGCTGAAATTGTCACAAGTAGGAAACGGTCAAGCCTTCTCGTCGTGGGCCCCCATTGGTCACACCAGGATACTATCTACCGCTGGGGAAGCCTAGAATTGCTGGGTGATTTTTCTCAGTCTTTTTTCTGAAAGTAACCTTGGAATTTGGTAAATGACATGCCAAGTCTGAGTTTGGGAACTGTTTGCCTCTGCACAGATTTTGTTCAGCTTGTACGGGTAACATGCTTACTTATGCTGAGCAAAAGTTTCAAGACTGTCATACATTGCAAAGAAGCAAACATGTATTGATGTATGCCCCAAAAACGAATCATTATACTAAATTGCACCTTGCTAAACTTCCCATGTGAGGCATTAGCAACTATAAAACTTCTGGTTCCTCAGTCAAATTGTGTTTTCCAAGACAAAATGAAAGGAAACATGTGATTGGTTTCAAGCAGGCTGCCTGACATACCAGTCGGTCAATTCGTCATAAAATAAAATCTTGTAAATAACCCCCTGGAAGCCTCATTTAAGCTTCTTTCGGGCCTTTTTGAAAAAGCTAAGTCCCTCGGAACAAAGTCGCCTGTCAAATAGCGAGCACTCGGTGCGTGCTCAGAGGTGAGTATGCGTTTTGAAAGTGGTTGAGCACGCCGAGCGATTTGAAGAAGTTTGCTGCACTGCTTGACTCTGGAGAACTTTTATCTTTGCGCTAGCATCCTAGTGGCAGCCACAGCGGCTATTGCATGAGCGAGACTTCATGGTAGAAAGTTGTGACAATATCAGGAATCTGGACTGTTACGAATCTAGTTAGAGCTGCTCAGAGGCTAGTGAAGCGCCACTCTCGAGGTGTGTCAACGTTTCCTCCAAACAGCCGGAGTTGCAATCGGAATAATAGGCATATTTGGAGGCCTGCCTATTACTCCGTGGGTATGGTATATCGATCGGCTGCGTTATAAGCTAAAACAGTAAATACTAACTGGGCTTGTCCAGCGGAATGACTTTCGTGTTCTGCGTGGGGCTGGCGAAGCATCTCAGGGTGAAGGTGGGGAGAACATGGCATAGCAGCTGCGGTGGCAGCCATGCTGTGGCACTGCTAGCGAGCAGAGCAGCTCCGTCTGCTGCATTCTGTGTGCCTGGAAGCATTTGCTGTGGCACTCGACCACCGAAATTAGATGCTTGAGTGCCAAATTTGTGAGTACTTGCTATTTGCGAGGGAAGAGGCTATTAGTGACACATCGGCTGGCACTTCTGGGCTTCCGAATGTTCCTTTCAAGTTTTTCCTGATGGCTTCACTCCGATCATGCTCTCCTTTTCCCGAGTCTGCGCGTCTTTAGTCGTTTGTCAGTATGGCCTGTTCGAGAATTTTGTTTTATATTCACAATTATGTCGGGTGCTCGATTAGACGACCCGCTTCGGTCGCCTAGGCAAAGTGCCGCCCTTCGGATTACCGGTCGGCCCGGCCGAGGTGCCTGTTGTAGGTGAGTTATATGTTCTGCCGCGATGGATGGAAAAAATGTTGCGACCACCACAGAGCTCGGTGGTAGTCTAATGGAGGCTTATTACCGAGAAAACGCTGCATTACTAAGATTTTTGGTGTACATCAAAAGAGATTTTGAGGTAGTAGAAATTGATCTTCAGTTCTTCGCTTAAGCGTGTGAGACACCCTTCGCCAGTTAAGCACGTAAAACCCTCAAATTTGTCTTTTTGCTAATTTCAACGAACAGCACATTTGTGCTGGTATCTAACGGATATTTAGTCACTCTATACGTATTTGAGCTGAGAATTGAAATAGCAGGTCTCATAAAAGTAATAGAAAACCTACTAGCAAACTGGCAAACTTCAATCATTGTGAAAACACGAGACCAAGGAACAAAAGTGGTGGTGCTACTTAATCGGGTCTTAAACTGAGTTCCGGCATGTGAATCGTCTCATCTATCATAATATGGTCTTCGGTTTCCACGATGTTAAAATTATCTTCTCTTTGCAATTTTTTGTTTTTTTTACTTTTTTAAGCAAGAATTGTTTTTAAACATAAGGTGCAGACACCGTAAAGTGCAGGAGCAGCAGCAAAAATGCGAGAGGGGCCACGGGTGGCAGACACGAGAACACTAGAACAGACCGAAAAAAGGGAGCTCAGAATGCAGAAATGCTTGGCATCAAACAAAGTAAGGCTGCACAGTTTTTGATTTATCAAAAACTAGCAGGCAGCGTGCTTCTTTGCTTTATCATAATATTCGGGGCATTGACCAGGTGAGTTGTTACTGAACCTTGAAAGCCATATTGGGTCTGCTTTGGATATATGGCAGAGGGTTATGGACAAAGAATTGGGTAAAATATTGAATGATATAACTTTTTACATGGCAGTTTGTGTGTATTACACTACCAAGTACATTACCTTATTTACTCGAGTAATAGCCGCACTATTTACGAAAAACACCTGGGGGTTCGCTTTTCCGCTGAGCACGCAGATTGCCAATCACCGTGATCGACAGCATGATTCCAGCTGTTTACAGGACAGAGATAACGTCTTCATGCGACGACACCATCCATGAAGATTCCATTTGTCTGGAGAATCGTGTTCTCGATCTGATTATTCACTATGTTATCTATGCGCAACGCAATGATTGGCTGTATATGTGTTCTGTGGGAAAGTAGACGCAAGGGCCTTGTTAAAAAAAAAGCGTGGCTATTACTCGAGTAAATACGATACAGTAGAACCTCAATACATTCTCGGTTGATACGTTTTCCCGGTTGTGACGTTCAAAAACGCCGGTCCCGTTTTACTTCCATAAAGATACATGTATTAGTTTCCTGCCTGTTACGTTTGCTTTCCCGGTTTTTACATCCAAAATTCATTTGCTAGTCTGTATTAATCCTCAATCCTGTGTTGGGGAATCTTAGATGCCTCTTATTAGTTTGGCACATAAACCCCCCCCCTTAAAATTCCTTTATTCTACTGGTGATACCGTTCAAAATATTGAGAGGGGCGAGAGGCACACATCTGGTAAGTTCGTCCTCCGCGGCATCAATGACTTCTCTAATGTTTAATGACACTCCCTATTGTCAGCATGACCGAGCTCAGCATTGGCTCAGCATGGCATGGCATGGCCACTTCACGAAAGTGCACGCTGAGCCGTGTGCTGGCGAAACGTGGCCGTCAATGCCACTACGCCGCAGTCGAACTAAGGGAGGGGAAGAACGACACTCATGCTTTCGCATTCACAATTCATAAGAAGTGCTTCGGTGTCTTTGGACTTTTTAAAAATCATAGTATGAATGTCAGCTGCAAATGTTTAGACTCTTGGTTCTCATGTTTTTACAAATTTCAAGTCCAGCATTTAAATTTGACGAACTTTTTCAGACATTAGTGCAAACCTTTTATATTTTTCTTCTAAAGAGCAGCTTATTAACTACATTTTGATGTATCATAATTAACTATATGCTGAGTACTTTATAAAGTGTTTTGTTCATCCATCAAAAATAACCACTTTTCTCATGGTAAGGAAAGAGTTAGTAAATTAATCATAAAGCAGTTTTGATCGCACATTAAAACCCTCAGGGGCTATTGAATTCACTGGTTTCTAAATTTTTATTTCTTCTGTGCTTCTCTGGGTGTCGTTCCATCCGTATCCATATCTCAAATACACAAAACTCAAAATATTTAGAAAGCAATGAGCCAGGGAAGGTGCATCTTCAATAGCAAAAGCAACTGAATCCACCAATTCTGATTTTCGTAACACCCATATGTTGGTTTAGAGAAAATCTTGACTGAATCGTGGCGAGTGAGACAAGCCAGGCAACTCCTAAAATATCAGACTCCTCATTCCTTGGCCGCACTCCTTCGGGTTCGGCTTTCTCTGCTTTTCTCAGCAAATCCACAAACCTGTGGTCAAACATTAAATTTTAAGCTTTCCATGCAGGTCCCCTGCCACTTCCGAGGCCCATCTTCCCCAGGGAGCGATCTGCGTTCGACAGGGTGATAGACTTCCTGGTGGGCGAGGGACCTAGCAACCGGTACGCCCTCATCTGCAGCCGCTGCAACTCTCACAACGGCATGGCGCTCAAGGAGGAGTATGAATACTTGGGTAAGTTTTGTGGCCGTATGCATTGAGGGATGGTAGTGGCCATATCCTTTGTGTCGGGCGGTAGCTTGTGCCACCTAGGCGGTCATACCCATCGTTCCATGTTGGTTTGTGCACCACAAATTTTTACTTGGCTTGAGGTGGGGGTTTATTCTATTGACTTTCAATTTCATCTTTATTGTATCCCTTTAGTGAAACGGGGATGAGGAGGGAAAAAAAGAAAAGCAGACGAATATCGCCTAATGAAGCTTTTTCCCACTAGCAACACAGGAAAATAATATACAGAGTACTTTTTTTATTCACATATAATCGAGTACTCTACATTGTCACGTATGACAAGTGACATGACAGTCAATAACTAGGAAAACTAAACTTATCTTTAGGTAAACTTGTGCCAAAAACAAATTGCTTTGTCTTGCTTCGCTGGCAATGGTGTGGATGACAAGAACAAACGCTAGCGGAACAGTGCCTCCATACAGTGCGCTACGTCTGCTTTTGCACGCACTGTCTGTTTAGGAAGGTTCTAAACCAAAACATGCAGTAACTGGCGGGAATGAAATGGAACTTTCCAGAAGAGCAACAGGTGGCTAAAGGAAAATCTGGGGTGCCTGGTTTGAACCCTGTGTCTCCGCATGGGAGCCACGTGATCTGCCAACTCATCTACGCACGCTGCACTATATAATATTTCCCTCTATTGCTGGGGGCACGGAGAAGCATTGTCAAGCTTCTTTTTTTAGAGATGAGGGAACAAAAAGAGGGACAAATGCGACCCCATCTTCCATTGTTTTTTTTTTTCCATTGTTTTTTTGTTTTTTTCAGCACGGTCACTCGTCCTTATTTCGATAGCTGGCACGAGTGAAGCACTGGCCTCTCTTTGTTAGGCACACAATCCAGTGTCGATTACCAAACTTGACAAGCGGATTGGTGCCACAAGAAAAAAAGCCGATGGCAGCTATTTATTGCGAGAGGAAAACGGAAAATACTAGCTGTCGTGTTTTTCGATGCATTCTATTGCGGTCTCTACTCTTTAAAAAAAGCTAAATTCAGCCATCTTCCTCTCGCACGTTGCTTGTAGTGTAAATGCACGCCAAGATATGGCACTCATATATGTGTGTGGTGAGCACTTCATGGTTCTGGAGCCTTTGCATTCTGGTAGGGCATTCAGTACATTGGAGCCTCGTTGATACGTTCCCAGTTTTTCCGTTTCCCCAACTTTTAGATTCAGAATTGCTGGTCCCACAATGCTCTCATAGGAACACAAGTATTAATTTTCTGCTCAGTGCGTTTGCTTTCCTTGTTCTCACATCCAAAAAGCCACCGACATAGTGTTAATGGCGCCGGCCGATTCGCACGACGGACCGATTCGCGGACGAATTCATCACGTGACGACACGTCCACGGATCATCCGCCTCCCGAGCGCATTCACACTGAGGGGGAGACGAGGGACAGCAAGGATACACCATGTGGGTTTCCCCTTTGGGGGGTACCACTTAAAAACACAGAAGGTTCCTTTGGGTCCAGATAAAGACGTGTTTATTAGCTCGAATGCCACATGCTTGCCCGAGGGACAACAATGTCAGAGATGACGGCGCTGTCTTTTATGACAGGATCGCCAGTCGGAGTCCGCGCTGCCGATATTGACAGTATCGCGGAGGGGGAGGATCAGATAAGGAAAGGAAGGCTGTGTCGAGCAGAGCCTCTTCCAGCAAGAGTCCTGCCCGGTGGATTAGGGCCGTCTTATATAGCCTGCGAGAATGGACGCGCCTGGGGGTGGGGGTCGGATGTAGGTTGGCTCCCCGGAGGGGCGGACGCGTCCAAGTCATGATCCCAAGGGGTGTGCCTGTGGCAAATTACCCAAGAAGGGCGAGGGAAAGCCGTTCACAAGGGAATGCAGCTTTGCCTTCGCATCCAGGATGCGCCCCCACATGGCAACGTCCCACGGCCTGCCTGAGCTAGGCCTAGATGGGGGATGCGGGGAACACGTGGTTTCCACAACCATTTGGCCGATTCACACGACACACCAATTCACGGACTGATTCATCACGTGACAAACATGTCCACGGATCGTCCGCCTCCCAAGCGCATTCACATGGAGGGGGAGACAAAGGACAGCAAGGATATGCCCTTATGGCCAATTCACACTACGGACTGAATCGCAATTTTCGTCTGCAGACCGTCACGTCACAAATTCCTGCAATTTGCGCCTCGTCCGCGAACGTGCAGGGTGAAATGGTTGAGTTAGTGTAGCAACGGTACAACGTTTTCTTTGTTTTTTGTTTGTGGAAAAATAAAACAAAGATGCCACATTAATCGACATCTTGTAAACCCTGAGATGGGGAACGATAAAAAAACTGACGAACACAACAAAATCTCAAACGCAGCTGAATTTTATTGATATGAGCATACCAATAAATAGGCTTTCACACAAAAGGAAAAGAGAAAGGGCAAAAATGTCTCAAAAGCAAAAACAAGATGCCCAACGCGTTAACCCCAGACAGCCTGAGCCACTCCCCGGCTCCAAGAACCTTCGGAGAGGGAGCCGACCACCCGAACAACAACAACCCCACGGTCACCACACATGGTGACTACCAAACCGCTAAAGCCTAATCCCCATTTCCTACTCCAAGCAAACGCTTCCTGGTTTCCCCTAGCCCCTTCTCAAGGTTTACAAAGCTCCCCTCATACAAGCAAAAACTCTTTCATCCGATCACTTATCACCAAGGGCGGCTGGCTCACACAATTCCCCCGCTCGCAAATGCACTAAGTCTCCTTAATTAGCCTTCTAAACTATTCTTTTTCGTTACACAGAACGGAAGTTTCATCCCAAAGAGGGGAACAAAAATTACAAGAACTAACATGATTAACCAATTCAGAATTCTGCGCCAAATTCTTTACACACCTTTTATGCTTTGCAAGTCGGTCATTCAAACAACGCCCCGTCTGACCAACATAACACAATCCGCAGTCAAAGGGGATCTTGTAGACCACCTCTGCGACACAGGAGACTGAGGGATCCGGGTGGGGGGGGGGGAACCGGGAAGCGTTTGCTTGGAGTAGGAAATGGGGATTAGGCTTTAGCGGTTTGGAGGTCACCATGTGTGGTGACCGTGGGGTTGTTGTTGTTCGGGTGGTCGGCTCCCTTTCCGAAGGTTGTTGGAGCCGGGAGTGGCTCAGGCTGTCTGGGGTCAACGCGTTGGGCGTCTTGTTTTTTGCTTTTGAGTTATTTTTGCCCTTTCTCTTTTCCTTTTGTGTGAAAGTCTATTTATTGGTATGCTCATATCAATAAAATTCAGCTGCGTTTGAGACTTTGTTGTGTTTGTCCGTTTTTTTATCGTTCCCCATCTTGGGGTTTACAAGATGTCGATTAATTACCAGCTCGCCTGCACTCTCTCACTGCTTACAATGCCACATTAATCTGTTTTGTGCATTTGCTGGTTCATTTTGTTGCTCAATTCTATGTTTCACGCTTGTAGGAAGGCTGCAGAAACTTTGCGCGGTCGAAGCGACACAGGTTCCGGTACTCCTCAGAGTCTGTACAAGATGCTTCTTCCAAAACTCACCTAGCACGCCGAAATCTTTTTCGCACATGCAATCAACCTTTCCCCAGCAAGACCTTCCTTCCTTGTGGCTGTGGTGTTCTGAAGTGTTGTGCACGAGCCAGAAGCGCGTAAAGGCATCTCCAAACGCCTCTCCGCGAGCCCAGGACTTCGTTGCGCCTCTACGCCAGAGTCTTCTTGAGCAGGACTATGCTCATGTCACTGTTGTGCCATAGGTTAGTAAAGCTAGTGGTGCCAAGCCTATCATGGTGTTCTGTCTCGCTCTGCACATAACAGCGGTGCACGATTTTTTTTCGCAGTAGCTAACGTTGGTTTCGCTCTTGGACAACAATGCCACATTGCAACGGAGTTTCGCGGCACTGTGGGGTCGCGAACAGGTTCGGTCCGTCCTCGCTGTTGCCTGCTTGTCATCTCCTTTGTGTGGATGCACTTGGGGGAGATGAACAAACTGCGGAAGTGTTGTCACGTGATCACTTTGTCCGCGATCAGTCTGTCACGTGAATCGGTTATTAACGACTGCACGATGGCACCGTTGTCCAAAAGCTAATGCGACATTTGTTGTTACGGTTGTGGCGCTGTCGCACTATTACAAAAAAGAATTGTGTACTACTGTTACGTGCCACGTGAGACAGACCACCGTGAGGGGCTTAGTGCGAAGCTCCTCTAGCTTTACTGACCCAAGGCATAGCACAAGGCTGGTCCTGCTTGAGGATGGTTGGAGTAGAAGTCTTGGGCTTGCGAAGGGGCGTTGACACATGTCCTCATTCCGGGGCACAACACTTCAACACATCACAGGCACAAAAAGGTCTTGCCCAACCTTGTTGGCTTCTGGTTGGACCTTGCCGAATGAATGGCTGGATGGATGTGCAGGACAGAGTGCGGTGTGCTAGACAAGTTTTGACAGAAGTTTTTTGAACACTGTGCGTGAGGAGTACTGGAACATGCAGTGCATCAGCCGGGTACAGCTCCTGCAGCTTTCTTCACACGTGGAGCTGAAAATCGCACAATGAAATGAACCAGCGGACAGACAAAAGGAAACAGTGTGCTATCTTTGCTTTGCTTGTTTGTTTTTTGTTGTCGCTGGTATCCGAACCAACACCTTTCATCCTGCACAATCTTATGAATTGGGTGTCCCTAAGCCACTGCGACAAAAACAAAAAAAAAGTTATGTGCTTGCTAAACGAAACGCTTTTCGAGTCAACCCCCGCCAAAGATTCGTGAAAAGTGCAGACCAATAAAGCCCAGCATCTTTTCACTTGTTGATTTTTTACTTCAGGCACGTTTAATCTAAACACTTTTTTTTTTTGAACGGGCAATTTGAAGATGGTGCATTATTGTGCTTTTTTCTGTTTTTGCTTCTTGGCTCTACTGCCTTTTGTCGCGCAGTTCTTGGTTCCACATGTTAAAGAAGTTGCAAGAACTTCACCCGGCTGACGCGCAGAAGGTTCTGGTACTCCTCCGAGTCTTTGTAAATAAGCTTCTGTGAAAATTCGTCTAGCATGCCTTAATCTGTCCTGCCTGTGCACTACAGCCTGTCATCCATCAAGGCGTTCTTTGCGGCTTTGGTCTACCAAAGTGTTGTGCACGATTGCGCGGGGACGAATTGATGAGGACATGGGTAAACGCCCCTCCACAAGGCCAGGACTCTGTTGCTTAACCGCATTTGTCACCCGAAGCGCCAGCTGGAAATCACAAGCTTTTCCTGAACAAATTCGAGCTCTCACCGACAGATGCAAACTTTCTGAATGTATCTGAGATCATGCCTACAAACTTTTCCAGTGTGCTCATTTTGGTTTACACCTACAAATGTTTAAAAACTTTTTCTGAGCCATTTGAGTTCACATCTAAAACTGTCTTGTGACAGTTGCTATTTGTCTCATCTCTAGCGCACTCCGAATATCAGCCTCGTTCCTTACGTTTTTCCGGATCATACATTTCATATCCCCGGCCCCCCCCCCCCCCCCTGAAAAGCGTATCAATGAGGTTCTACACTATTTCCCTCGGTGCATCGTTTCCGCTGCCAAATACGAGCGGAAAGAGTAGTTTTTTTTGTATACAATGGACCCCTGGACTGAGAATGCTTTGCTGCATAAACTATTGGTGTCAATCATTTTGTTGCCCACAGGTAAGTGTCTTACGTTGTGGTAGTGTTTTTCTCTGCCATATGGCTGAGATTGCTCTTGTACATCAAAAATCCTCAAGTGTTTTATCTATTTCTCGCCCATCACTGCTGCTTGCCAGATGCCCTTGATTGTTTGGCACCTAAACCCGCCAACTTAAAATTTTTCTTTCAGCAACATTGCAATGCATATAGTCGTTCGCATATTTTTTTAAATATGATTTATTCTATGCATGAATGGCTAGGTGCATTATAGGCACAAAAGCTTGGTTATATTCATTTCTTCCGTGCTCCTTTCTCGAAGCGTTCCGGTGCTGCTACTGCCTGTACTGGAACCAGGCAAAGAAGCAGCGCCCTGAAATTCCCAAGGTCTTCGAGCTCCCCGGAAGCATGCTCGCTCTTCCGCCTCCAAATTCGTCTGCGGTTGTCCACGACGACTCGTCAGCATCCCTGAAGAGCTCCATCCCTGACAGTGAGTTCTTCAGCTTTCTTATATATCCAGAAACTCAAAGTTGAGGTAAAGGGGCACAGAACACAGCAGTCGGGATCTTGGTGCAGCAAGTCTGGCTTCAGCACGTGGCCAACTGGTCTCGGTGGTGTGTGCAAGCACGTCTGTGCACTTCTCTTGTTCTTGCTAAATATAGACTCGCCGAATGTTCCCGGAGTACCGAATTTCATTCAGTCCACTTATTGGAAGTAGATACCGTAGAATCTTGTTTTGATTGGCTGGTTTAGCCCGTGGCAGAAGTTTTCAGTCTGCCATTTTTGAGGATCGACCCAAAAAAACAAAAACATACATATAACGTTTCTGCATTACCATGGTACGGCGGGTGCGCATGGGTGGGAGCTCTGGGCATCGATGAGTTAGGTCCGAACAGAGGTGTATTGATTTTCTCTATTTCTATTTTATATCAAGTAGCTGCTAATCTGGTTCGCCAAAAACGATTGCCGGCTCGTTTGCTCGCTCTGGTTGCATCAGTGCTGTGTTTCAAACTTAATCTCGGATGCCAAGCCTAACACTCAACTTCTGTGTGTTTCGAGGCGAGAAAGAGAGACGAGACAGCAAGGAGCATGTCACGCAGTGCTCATGACGGAGAAAAGAACTTTAATAAAAACAAACCACTGTCGGCTTAGACCAGGAAAGCGAATTGAAGAGCTCGCACGAGAATGAACGCTACGCAGCATGCGCTTCGCTTCGATCCCACAGGGCAGCGCCATATTGGGGATCGGTTGGAGCGCGTCTGATGCGCCGCAACTCGGTTCGAAATCGAAGCTTGGAAGTTTAGGTACTCTGGGAACATTCAGTGACTCTAGTTTCCTGTTGACTAGGCAGGGCGACCAGAACAGTGGGGCTGGGGCGCTGGGAAAGGAAACATGCAGATGAATTGCCCCAAAATCGTGCACGAGCGCATACCCTTGAGAGATTGTCTGTCCCATTTTTTGGGGCTGAATATTTGTAATATAAAAACTTTGAAACATCGCCCACCTCCTGATTCTCGGCGGTCATCACGCAGATCGCGATTCTGCCACATCCGCAGTCTGCGGTACGTTCCTGTGATGTGCGATTTGGTAGCTGATTCTTGCGTTTTTTCGTCTGCCATATGCTTGCACATGATCTGTTCCTTTGATACGTGAGTTTGTAGGCATTTTCCCACGTGTTTAGTGCACTGTGAAACTGTAATCTGCTGCGGTGTCTGTTCCCGTTACATGCGTGTTCATAGCTGATTCCCGTGCTTTTGTACGTGATCTGCGCATGCAATATTGGTTACTGTGACTAAGAAGTTTGAGTTCCCATGTGTTCATTGCTCCTTGAAGCTTGAATCTGCTGCGTACGTGCTCTGCAGTGTCTGTTCCTGTGACGAGGGAATTCACAGCGAATTCCCTTTGGTTTATTGCACCATGGAACGCAAATAGGCTGTGTCTATGATCTGTGGTATCGGTTCGCGTAAGAAGGGGAGGGCAGTATTCATCACTAATTCTTAAAAAAAATTTGCTGATGCAGCCCATATTTTTTACCGTTTATCTCTTCATTTGGGGCGGGCATTCATATGGGCTTTTGCAGTATTATTTTCTAATCTCCTCTTTTGAAAGCATGTCACTAAAAAGAAACAGGGAAAGCCAAGGGAAACATCTAAGTCAGCTTGAAAAATTAGAGGTCACATTATGAAAGAAACTTGCTGACAGCATCAGTGCCAGTAGTACCCCTAGTTATACGGACACCCCTAACTGCGGTTAAGTCACTCTCACTGCAGTTACACTTCACCACAGTTACAACACTATACTGTCTAAGAGCTAGCTCAAGATGCGCATGTGCGCCCATAGCTTCGACTGCATAGTGTAACGGCTCTGGGGTCATCCTCGTTGTCGGGCTCTGCTGGAGCCAGGCGCCGACCAAAATATCAGGCGGAAGGAGCTCGGTAGCAGGGCCGCTTTTGGCAACGGATTTTTTTTACATTTGTACAGGGTCGAAAAGCAGCATCAGAAGATCAGAGTCCCGAAGAAGTCCGCTTCTTTTAACGGGACTCTCTTCCCTACATTCCCCACGTAGAGATTTCGGCTAGCTATGTCAGCTCCTCCCCCACACAAACTGACACACCCCTGTCTCCACCCACACATGCCGCCAACACCATGCAGACCAGCTGTCCCAAAGACGTCTCCGCTTGTTCCCCGAGGGGTCGGCGCGAAGCACACATTACATGATTGCCTGCGGCTTCCTCTTCCGACGGGAAGGTAATTGGGTGCGGGGTGCGGGGTGCCCGACAGGAGGGGTCAGCCTGGGAAGTGTGGGAAAGGATGCATTGACCTCTTGGGCCACTGTGGGATTCTTAGAAGGCTGAGTTGCTTGTCTTCTTTCTTCCCACATCGGCTGGCTACGGAAAAGCACTTTCTTCTCGCCGTGGACGCTTGTCCGTAGGCTTCCTGGAGCCCTATGGGTTTTTGAAACAAAGAAACGCCTGGACATCTTTTCCGCGTCTGCTGGCTTCTTGGTAAGTCGCTTGGACGCCTGTGGGTCTCCAGGACGGCGTTCATTACAGCTCTTCCATGGACGGGAAGATTTCTGAAGAGAGAGGAGTTTCCGCCGCTCTCCTGAAGAGATCAGCTTTGAGGTCGTCAAGAGTGGCCAACACCCCAAAGAAACAGAGACCGCAACACACAAATCCAGCAAGCGACGCCACCCCCTTTCCAGTCACCAGACCCGCAGTCACAGAAATTCACTTGTCAAAGTACAGTCCGTCATAGTCCAGAAATACCAGACATGGTGCAATCGTTACCGCAAACAAAACTGTCGTCATGTGTGAACATTATAATAACTAAACAAAATAACTCGAAGCTTTCATAAAATTTGCCTAACTCTTAAGGCAGAATCCAGCAAAAGAATCTCAAAACGACCTGCTAAGTCCATCTACATTAGAGTTTTCCGCTCCCTTCTTGTATTTCACAGTGAAGGTTAGCTGTTGCAGAGCCAAGCTCCACCGCAAAAGTCGAGCATTCTTTGCCGACATCTGGGTCAACCATGTCGGGGAACAATGGTCGGTGTCAAAGAAAGACAAATGGACTCCCTAAGGTAGCAGGAGAGTTTTTGGGTGGCCCAAATTAGGCACACACACTCCTTTTCAGATGCACTGTAGGCCTCCCCTAGGGTGCTGTGCTTCCTGCTTGCGTACAGCACGTTCCTGTCCCTGATCATCCTCCTGACACAAAATAACTCCTAAACATTACTAGCGTCGCACTGCGCAATAAAAGAACAACTATAATCACGAGCCCAGAGTATGGGGGAGCTACACAGGGCATCTTTGAACTCCCGAAATGCCTGCTCTTTCGTTTCATTCGAAAGACTCCTGTCGGGTTCTGTCTTTCGGAGCGCATCCGTAAGGGGACTGGCCCTTTTTTAGAGTACTGTGGGATACAGCGCTGGTAGCCCTGTAAGTCCCAATACAGCCCTGCAAGTCCCAAGAAGGCCCTACTCGGTTAATCCTCAGTCCTCCGCTGGGGCGTGCCAGATGCCCGTCGTTGGTTTGGCACATAAAACCCTTAAATTTGACTTTTAAGGCCCTACTTGGTTTTTCGCTCAAATCAGGGTAACTCCTTAACGGCCTCGACTTTTAGTTCGTTGGGCCGTTGCAACCCCTGCTCTGCGATATGGCCGAGGTACCTGACCTCTCCTCTGGCCAATTGACACTTACTGGGCTTCACTGTCAGCCCCGTTCTCCTCTACCTATCGAAGACGTCACTAAGGTGACTTGTGATCCGTCCAGGACGTTGAAAAAATGTCAATTTCATCCAGATAAGGTGAAGTGTAGTTCTCAGCGCCTTTCAAAATACTGTCCATCATTCTTGAAGAACAAAATGAAGCGATTTTGAGGCCGAAACTTAAGGGCGGAACATACCCGCGGAGGTTACGAATGCCGCGTAATGGCTGACTTTCGCCGTCATTGGCACCTGCCAGTTGCCCCGGACCAGATCTATCAAAGAAACAAATCTCGCCCCACTAACGGTTTTGATCCTTTCCTCGATGTTTGGGATAGCATAAGCTTGATCCCAGGTGATTGCATTAAGTTTTCGATAGTTCATATACAGTCGGGGGGTCCTTCCCAGCAGCCTCAACGATAATCATTGGAGGGAAGTAATCACTTTCACAGGGAACGATTACTTTCAAGCTCAGCAGACGCTCAACCTCCCCTTTCATGATAGCCCGCTGCCTGTGCAACATGCGATAAGGACGAGATTGCACCACAACGTTAGTTGCGAGTTTGATATCATGCGTGTCCAAGGAAGTTCGGCCTGAGGACACAGAGAACAAAGTCTCTTATTTTTGAAGAAGCTCTCTTAAATCGGCAAGCTATGATACAGAGAGGTCCTTAGAATGAACTGCCTGCGCCATTACTTCCTCCACCCCGACCGGCGTTCCGGTTTCCCATAGGAGCGGAATATCGGTCTGCCTTTCCTCCGGTACATTTAAAGTGAGGTTCACCACCTCGGTGTGGCTCACGTAGCAGTTCATCGAATCGCAGTGGTAGTTCTGAATATCCTTCCTGTTGTTTCTTTTTTTGATTGCATAGTTTGTTTCTGAGAGTTTCTGAGCGACCCTGTAAGGTCCTTCCCACTGTACCTGCAGCCTTTTTTTGGCGCAAGGGGCAAAGCACCAAAACTTGGTCGCCCTCGTTGTACTCTCGGAGACAAGCATTTCTATTGTAATAACGCTTGGATCTGATCTGGGCCTTACGCATGTTAAGCTCTGCGATTTCTCTTGAGCTCCGGAATCTCTCCAGCAGATTAAGGACGTACCCCACCACTCCCGGATCTGAGTCTTGAGTTTCCCACGTCACGCTTTTACTCTCAAAAGTCAACGCTCTCAAGAGCCACTTCATGACTGAGTGACACCTTTCGATGCTGTTGGACTGGGGGTGATAGACTAGAACTGTGTATCAGCTTGATCCCACACTTTTCCAAGAAACCAGTAGATAAGGTGCT